CAGTGACTGATAGGGCCTGGGGAGATAGCTCAGTAGAATAAGCGCTTGCCTGGCAAGCGCAGTGTCTTAAATTCAAGCCCTGGTACCAAAAAAAGTGACTGATATATTATCTAGTTTCATCATCAGATACGTTGTTCAGACCAACAGAATAGTCATGCAAGATGGGAGACATGATTTTATATTACATATTGCCACATGCTTTTAAGAAATCTTTTTTTTTTTCAGAACCGGTGGTTGAACTCAGGCCCTTGAGCTTGCCAGGGAAGCCCTTATTTCACTGAGCCATCTCCCTGGCCCCAAGAAATCTTAAGTTTTTTTTTTTTTTTCCTTGAAGTTTTTGACAATGATGTGCAATGTATTAATTATTGTAACTGTTTCTCTAACCTGTTTTGAAATTGTTTCATTGCTGGGGCTGGTGAGATGACTCAGTGGTCTAAAGCACCTACTTAAAACAAGTTTAGCAAAGCACAGGGACTGTGGTTCAATCCCCCAGCACCATATGCCAGCCAGCCCCGCCCCTGGTGGGCTGAGCTGGCCACACACACACACACACAAATAAATAAAAATTAAAAAAAAAAAAAAAGGAAATTGTTTCATTGCTATTTCTTCTCATTAAAATGAATTAATGACTTTTTTTTTTTTTTGGTGGAACCAGGGATTGAACTCAGGCCCTTCCACTCATTCTGAGCCATTTCGCCGGCCCCTAAAAATTTACTTTACATAAGAGTACAGTACTGGGACTGGGGAGATGGCTCAGTAGAATAACTGCTTGCCTGGCAAGCACAAGGGCCTGACTTCAATCCCCCCCCTCAAAAAAGAGTAAAGTACTAATTGATATGACGTTAGAAATGATACACATTTAGAAGGCCAAAATGACAGGCATTTCAATCATGGCTTTAGTATTATACACCGCTGTAAAAAAAAAAAATTTCTTTTTTTTTTTGTGGTACTGAGGATTTAACTCAGGACCCTGGGCTTGCTACACAAGTGTTTCTTATACTGAGCTATCTCCCCAGCCCCAAAACTTAATTCTTGGGCTGGCCAAACAGCTCAGCGGATTAAAGGGTCTGCCAACAGGGGAGGGGCAGGGGCCTGGGGGTCATCCCTAGGCCTGCCAGCAATGCTGGCCCCGCCCCCGGGGCGCACTGAAAGGGTAATTGAAACTGGGCTTGGTGGCGCAGGCCTGTAATCCCAGCTCTTGGGAGGCCATAAACAGGCGATCACTAGGAGTCCTATCTAGTAGTAAGACCCTAAACACCCTGTAGACCCTTCCCCAAAATACAAAAAAAATTTTAATTAATTCTTTAATAAGACAAAAAAGCTTGGTGTGATGGCACCCGCCTGTAATCCCAGCAGTTGGGAGGCCGGGGCAGGACCACCTTGAGTTTGACGCCAGTTTAGGCTACACTGGGAAACCCAAACAAATAGGGTGCAAAAACTCATTCCTATACACTAGATTTTTGAGAAGCATGCTCCAGGGCAGGTTAACTTATCAACGAAGGGATCTAAACATCTTCAGATCGGTGTAAGAGCAGTACTGACTTGTTTCTCCTGGGGGCGCTCTTCCGAGGGTATTTGGGCTGCCTCCGGAGCCGGAGCGTCTTGGGACGGCGGAAGGTGGGCGACGTTCGTATCTTCTTCTTTTTGTGGCTGTGGATGCCTTTCAGCACGGCCTTTTTGGCCTTCAAAGCTTTTGCTTTGGCTTCAGCTTTGGGAGGGGCAGGGGCTGGGAAAGAAAAGGAAGGTTCGGAATTAAGAAACCCGTTAGGCACTTCCGGCCTCACGTCCAGTAGTTGTGCCCCTGCCTACACGTGCATCAGTGGTTCCTTTGGAGACATCACAAATCTCAGGATATTAACTTTTTTCCATCATATGCACGATACGGGAAGCGAAGGACAACCAATCAGGAGTAATTTCAAAAATACATAAAACTCTAACATTCATTAAGAAAGGTACACACGGGGCCATTTAGCACATTAAAAAAAAAAAGGGCAAACAAGTAATTCTGGGGCCGCTTACGTTCTTACGATCTTACGATCTAGCGACATGGAGCATCGGCTTGTGGATGCTTTTAGTTCCCCAGAGTCAACTGTGTGGCACACCCTGGCCGATAATGCGGGCTGGGCTGCTCTCCGAACCCCTTCACGCAACTCTAGCCCATGAAGCTTGCTTACGCAACCCACTTTGGACACGGCACACCTCAATCGCAGAGAGCAGCTCTGACGATTTCCCCTGGGCTCAGCTCAGCCCAACCCTAAGAATATGTTCGCTCTCCCGGTATCGGAGGATAATCCCCTGTGGACCACCCCTCTCCCTCAGTCCCAACACACACCTTCCTTCTTTGCTTTCGGCGCCATCTTGGTAAAAAGGCTCTACCAACCTCGTTCTCATGGGCTTATAGAGCTAAATCTCATCGAAGACTCGCGATTCTTTCTACGGCGATCTGATTGGATAATCTTAAGCGTGGCACTCGCTGGGAAGGGCTGTTAAATTTAATTTCCTCTCAAGACTGAGTAAGCATGCGCCACCCCGCCCCTTTTCGGGCCCCAAAGCTTCTTGGGAGTTGTAGTTTTTGTTCGGTTCGTTCGTTTTTTTTCAGACAGGATCTCGCTCTGAGGTTCAGGCTGGCCTTGAGCTCGCTTTGTAGCCCAGGGTGGTCTCAAACTCGCAGCAGTCCTCCTGCCTCAGCCTCTTGAGTGCTGGAATCACAGGCATGTATCAGGGATTGAACCGGGGTCATTGTGCGTGCCAGTTCAATCCCTGGTTCTGTAAAAAAAAAAAAAAGATACATGTTTAATTGTCTGGGTCTGTGGATGGTATAGCTGGTTGCCTGTTTGAATCTTGTCTCAGGACCTTCTCACCTTGAATAACTTTCAGTCTCAGAGAAGAGAGGACTTAAAGCTCTAGAGAAAATAATACTTCGAAGGGGAAAAATATACTACTAGGGAAGAGGTGAAGCAAAGTTCTAGAATGTTAGAACATGATTTGCCTGATTTAATCCCCTCGGATATATTTGTGGAATACCGAGGTCCACAGAAAGACATGGTTTAGCAATTACCACAGAGATTTGTTTCTTTTACTTCCACAGACTTGGTGACAGAAAAGGTCATTTGTGTGCTTTTTTTTTTTTTTTTTTTCAGTACCAGGAATTGAACTCAGGACCTTCCTCTTGCCAGGCAAACACTTATTTTACTGAGCTATTTCCCAGGCCCTGTGTGCTTGTGTATGGTGGAAATATCAAAGAAAGTATAAGATGGGGCTAGGGAGATGGCTCTGTAGAATAATTGCTCGCCTGGCAAGCACCAGGGCCTGAGTTCAATCCCCGGTTCTGTAAAAAAAAAAGTATACAATGGCCACCATCTGTTTCCTCCTCTTTTTTTTTTTTTTTTTTTTTTTTTTGCGGAACCAGGGATTGAACTCAGGCCCTTGTGCTTGCCAGGCGAGCACTTGTTCTACTGAGCTATCTCCCCAGCCCTCATGGTGGTCTTGAACTCACAGAAATCCTGCCTCAGCTTTCTGGGTGTTAGGATTACAGGTGTGTGCCATCATAGTTGGTAGCTGTCTGTTTCTTTTCATTCTTTTTTTTTTTTTGTGGTGCCAGGGATCAAACTCAGGATCTTGCATTTGCCAGGCAGGCACTTAGGCTGAACTATAGCCCTGTCCACTCCCCTTTTTAAAATTTATTTACTTGGTACAGGTCTTGCTATGCAGCTCAGACTCGTAGTGATCCTCCTGTTTCAGCTTCCCCAGCGCTGGGATTACAGGCATACGCCACCACACCCCGGGGTCTGGGGCTGGCATGGCATGTGGCACTAGGGATGGAACTGTGGTCCTTTTGCCTGCCAGGCAGGTGCTTAGACCAATGAGCTATCTCCCCAGCCTGCCATCTATTTCTTTTTTAAATTTTGTATGTATTTAGTACAGGGTCTACAGGGTCTCATTATGTAGATCTGACTCGTAGTGATCCTCCTGTTTTCAGCCTCCCAAGCACTGGAATTATAGGTGAGCACACCACGCCGTCTCTGTTTCTTTATATTACCCTATTCCCCTTGCTGGGGATTACACCTAGAGAGTGTGAAGCTATGTCTCAGCCTATTTATTTGTTTGTTTATTTACTTATTTATTGGTAGAACCAGGGATCGAACTCAAGGAAGCACTTATTTTACTGAACCATCTCCCTAGCCCCAAAGCTAAGATGGATTTTTTTTTATTTTTTTTTTTTGGCTGGCTCAGGATGCCTTCAGGGCAGGTCTGGTAAGGCATGAAGATATGGGGATCAAACCACAGCATCCTGAGCCTGACTGCTTTGTCTAAGCAGGCACTTAAATAACTGAGCTAACTGGCAGGCTCCCACACAAGTTTTTTTAACCTCAAAATTTAAAAGAAAAGTATATACCCACTGCAAATGTTTTTGCAACTTCA